ATATTCTGCTTATATAAGTGTGCAATGAAGGTATAAAGAGAAATCATTTTTACATTTCAAATGCAAAATAACGTCTACCTCATGAATTGACTAAAGTACACTTGAAAAGAAACGAATCATGCAATACTATTATCGAAAAAAATCACATTCTGCTTGATTCCTGTTGTCAAGGACAAAAGGATTTTTTAATGAGAGTGTGAATAAAGTGAGAGTCAGAATGATTCATGTGCTGCTTTGGTGTTTATTTTTGAAATCGTACTTTTCAAGATTATTGTTGTTATTGTTTTTCGATCGAAAGAAAAAAAATTGATAGGAAGAACAAATATGAATAGAATGGATGTATCTGCACTATCAATTATCACTCTATTTATCGAAAAACATTTGATCACAAATACTTTTTGTATTCTTATTATTCTGTTTTACTGTCATCAATGTGAACTTTTCAAGATGGTGAAAGAAGAAATTCATCTCTGTTTCTGTTATTGATAATTCAACGAGTAGCCGACAAGAAACATACATGCACTGACAGCTGATAAGAACAGAGTGTCATGATGAATTTCCTCCTGACACATTAACTGTATTTAGCTTCTTTTTTTTCTTTATGTGTTAGCCAATAAAGAACAGTAAAGAACGTCGTATTTGATGTATGTATTTATCTGTAAGAAAGACAAAGACAAGAATAGAGCAGAATGATGTGCACGAAGAGACATACTGAGGCACGATTTTTGGTTTTCGTTGTACTTATTGCAATTATTGCATTTGCCTTACAAACAACTTGTGTTAATGCAACGATATATCAGTATCCATGTAAGTGTTTATTTTTCGAAAAGTTCTTTCTTAACAATTGCTCATAGCTCGATTCACGTTATCCGAGTTTCCTGTCAATCGAATATCTCTGCGAGTTCAATCCTGTTCCAAATGGAACCGTACCGGTGAGACAATTGTTGGAAATGAACTGAATACATATCTCAACGACTTGGAAAGTATCTCTATGATCGGTATTGATCGGCTGTACGTTGTTGATCGATATGATGGTAGAACACGATTACAAATATTTCCACACGGTTCTTTTGTTGGTCATACAGTTTGGGACGGACTTGATACTATTGTCTTTATTGATGAGAATGGAACATTTTACACAAGTTCTTCTGACGGAAATATCAAACGATGGAAAGAAAATGCAACACAAGGAGAAGAAACTAATTGCAAATGCGATCACTATTCTCGTATATGGTTTGATCAAGAAAACCAAGACTTTTACATCGTTGAACGCTATCGTTCTCGAATCATCAAATGTAATGTTGATACAAATGTCACGGTCACGGTAGCTGGAATAACAGATGTAGATGGACTATCTAATCAAACATTATCTTATCCGTATGCATTGTATGTCAATAGTTTAAAAGATCTCTATATTGCTGATGTGAATAACCATCGAATACAGAAATATTCAGGAAATGCAACGACTGGTATTACTGTTGCTGGACAGACAAATTATTCACTTCACCGACCGTACGATGTTAAAGTCGACGATAACGGTTTTATCTATATCGCCGATACGATCAACCATAGAGTTCTTCGATGGAAAGAAGGAGAATCTGAAGGAGAAGTTCTGTGTGGCATTTCAAGTGAGCAATTCTTCTACTGAACTGTTTTTCGACCTAAAATAAACTGATAGGTGAATCCGGCAATTCGGCATTGCACCTGGACCGACCTAAATCGTTCACATTTGACTTCGAAGGAAATCTCTATGTCGCAGACATCGGCAACAAACGAATACAAAAATTTTCTATCGATAACAGCCGCTGTCTTCAACCTGTAAAATGTAAGTAATCAATCGCCAAGTTCACCTGAAGATTTTTTCACTATTCGATATAGCTGAATTTCCAAACGATCAGTGGGCAACTTTTCATCAACGGTTGCATGCATCTAAAGTCAAACTGAAGAACAACGAGTACCTTGGCATGGGTTATAATCCACTGAAAAATTCTCCTATATGTTATTCAGAACAGTGTAACAGGAAATATTTTGGTCTGCCTGTTTTCAAACTCAAATATTCCGATTCACCCAAGAAGACTTGTGTAAACAAACCAATACCTGAAAAGATAAAAGTCGAATGCATACATTCGCAAAAATCGAATATCGAAACACAAACTATTAGCACACTGCGGGATCTACAAGAAAATACAAGAAAGTCAGTGGAATTTATCAGTAGTTCGACATTCAGTGCAAAACATATCGATAATTCTTTTTCTTATGCATATTCGCGAGAAATACATTCTCTGATTGATACACTTATCAAAGATAATTCCATCATACTCTACACTTCGCTCAATCAATCATCGGTTCGTCTTTCGATGAATGAGTCAATATTTGATTTATCGGACGATTTTCGTTTCGTAATTGCGAACATGCCATGCTGTGAATTCAATGAAACAATTGAAAATTACATTCGTGAATTTATTCTTGGATATTTCGGCTATACGTATATTAGAAATGTTCATCTCGGTGGAATTATACAGCAAACGATTATCATCACGGAGAACAATCGTAAGATATTGGAGCAGCATGGATTCAATACGTCCAATGAAACTTGGTTAATAGATGTTGCGAAAGAGATCTTTTCACTTCAATCAAAGGCTCATCAAACCGAAATATCGACTAACAATTACGTTAGATACTTTACCAAAGGTAATATGAAAATATTGGGTGGTAATACTTCAAAAAATTCACTCGAAGAATGGTTCAAGTCAATACCACAAAGTTCTGTGGTTGTAAAAATGGACATTTCTAGTATTTTCGATCTACTAACAAATAAGACTTTTCCCTTCGATCCTTATATTCATCAGAAAGTTGCATTGATCAGATCCGCTGTAGATCGATATCTATCGAATCCTGTATATTGTTATGATCGGTGCACGGATGCAGCACACGGAACCTGTGTCGACAGTGGTTTCTTCCAATTTGGAATTTGCCAGTGCCAGTTGGGATGGACAGGTTTTAACTGTGCCACTCCTATCCGTGCGTATTTCCTACTGTAGAAACAGCGTACTATGCTATCTTTATTGTAGATCGCTTCATTGATATATTGAACACCAGTAATCTATCACCGGTTTGGAATACGAAAGCAGGCAGAAAGAGTCATTCAACAACAACTGGCTTTGGAAAAGGACAAATGCCTTCGAACGAAACAGTTAATAATATTTTCGATCACAATATCTACACAAAATATACGAGTTTTGGGCCAAGTTCACCTGATGCTATTAGTGTAAGAAGTGGCCTAAATACTGGCTTTCATGTCACACTTGATGCTGGCATTTGCATTGTAACTGGATTTCGATTTTCGACTGCTATTGACCAACCAAAGCGAGATCCGATATCGATTACTCTCGAAGGAAGTAACGTGGATAGTTCGTCGTTGACACTTGGTAAAAGCTGGACACTGTTGTACAATGGATCGAGTGGACTCGATACAGATCCAGGCCGAGGTAAAGTCGGTACTCTTCAAAGATTCAGCAACGATCGATTTTACCGACACTATCGAGTGCTTGTCGTATCCAAAAGAGGATTGAACAATGGTGTACACTATTCAGAATTTCAATTCTATGGTCATTCATGTTTACCAGGTAAGTAAACAATGGTTGACCTGTTGGAAGAGCCATCTTTTTCTCTGTGTAGAAACTCATATACGAACAAGAAACATGAGAATGACGGTCATGCATGTGACCAGTGCATATATGAAGGTTACTAACGACCAACCGTTTCCGCTGATTCTAATCACATCGTCGAATATGAATATGAAAGATACATTTCCTAGTCAAACTATTGGAGCGGGCAGATCGAGTCCCTTGTCATTCATTAGTACAGGAAGAGAAATGACTCAGTCATACTTTGATATCGCATACGGTTCCAGCACAATCAAAATCAACATCGGACAAGTTAACTATGTTACCAATGCAAGTTTCTTTGGGCCAGCAGGTCACACAGGAGGATTGCTTGCTCCTACTAAGCCATTCAGTCAGGATACCGATTACACATTCTACTTCTTTGGTGGACCTGGTGTCTTACCACCGTTAATCAATAGTTTTATTGCAGCTAATCTACCAGCTTTGGTTGCATACGTGTCTGCAAATCCAGTTCAGTTCAACTTAAATAATGACATTCAACTAGTTATCAATCAACTTGATCTCACTCCGCAATCAGTTCATTGCAACTACGCCTCATTGTCACCAACTGAACACTACAGTATACGCAATCAGCAATGGCGTGCCACTACGATCTTGAGCTTGAGTGGCAAGATATCTGGATCCATCCTGTACCATAGTATGAAGATAAATTTTAACTTCACTATTAGCAATGGTTCGGTGTTGATACAAGCGATAGTCAATACGAATGATTTACAAACCTTTTCGTGCGCAGTAACCAATCTGGCATTCTCTGTTCAGAGTTTCAGTATCAACAAGGATCTACTAAGTCTCCTTCAAACATTCTTCTCTGCATGGTACCAATTGATTGATACACCGTATCACTTAGCAAGCACCCTTAATATCAAATATAATCAGATCATCATCGACAGACTCAATGCAGCAATTAACAAACTTTTAAATAAAACTGTGACGATCGATGACGCAGCCAGAAAGAAACCTATATCTATTAGACCTTCACTAGATAGCACTGATAAAATCGAAGAAAGAAAAATCGATTACAGTCGTTGGATGTCCAATCCGCGAATACAGTCGAAAACGTTATCACAACTGAAAATTCCGGGCACTCACAATTCCGGATCTTATGGATTAACGCGAAAACTCTCGCAGATCATTTACAAAAACATCGAATTTCTCTGGAATTTAAGTGCCGATCCTGCACCTACAAACGGCCATTTACCATTCAATAAAGACAAGATCTATGTGGGACATGCATTATTAAATTACATTGTTGATACCACACTTCGAACAGCTATTTCGCAGAATCGAACCATTCGACAGCAACTGGACGACGGTGTGCGATTCTTTGATTTGCGAATCTACTATGATACAGACGGATCGTTCTATATCCAGCATGCATTGCGCGGTCCTGAGCTGAATGATATTCTTGTTCAAGTAAGAAGTTTTCTCGATGCACATTCAACATCCGGCGAGCTAATATTTCTCTCCATTTCACATACTAATTTTGGTACTGATCCCGAAAAGCTGCCATCTCGAGTGGCATCAATCATCCAGAACCATCTCAAGCCTTACCTTTACATGCCTGCAAATTCGGCTGGAACTAAGAATTTTGATTTTCAAAGCTTGCGTAATATGACTCTTACTTCTATTACTACTGATTCGTATCGTACATCACCCAAAGTTATGATTTTGAATACTGACAAGTCGGATAAGTATTACTACAAGGATACGGTTATCAACACTGAAGGATTCGCAGATTCGGGAAGATGGACAATTAACTCGAATGGCGTCAATAGTCATATGGACTTGATTGAACTCGAACGCCAAGGATTGAAGAAGAACACAAAATCTATGTATCATATTAGTTGGATACAGACTCCACAGGCGGCAGATATTATTCAGAATGTGATCAATCATTTGACTGGAAACACATCAAAAATGTTACTTAAACAACTGGCCTTAGAAACTAATTCTGCATTGCCGAACTTTCTCAAAAATCATACTATGGCCACATTCAATTTAGTTACGATAGACTGGTATGATATTAGTTCAACAACTAATCCCGTTGACATTATCATTGAACTGAACTAATATTGGGAATCGATTTCAGCTATTTTCATTCTGATCTTTTCTATCAAGCTGCGCATCTGTATAATTTTCATAAACAATTCGTTTTATAAAGAGTATATGTCCTAGATACACTTCTTCGATATATAAATTACAAAGATGAACTCTTCCTCTGATTTGTTTTTCAACAAAACACGATCCATTGATCAAAATATACACACAATACGATAGAGTAAATATAGTAATCGATCTGACTCATGTTAGAAGCAATTTTTCTTTCTTTCTCCGATTTATTTGCCTTCTCTTCTCTATTGATCAATAAAAACAGCTATATCAAAAAGTAGTAACAATGTGATCACTGTACAACTGAATACCTGTACAAAACAAAACAACAAACATCGCTTATTGCAAAAAAGAAGAAATTTCGAACTATGGGTAATCGTACGTATCGTCCAAGATTTACTGAATGGGATTTAGATAGTCTAGAGAAAGTAACAACATTATCGAAACAACAATATCTGCGTCTATATCATCAGTATCAAAATAATCAGGCATGGGGTGGACAAAACATGGACGAGAAAACATTCTTTCAGAAATGCAATGAAATGCTGCCCGGTGAGCAAACGAAACGAGAAAGTGATCGGGCGTTTTCTACATTTGATTACAACAAATCAGGAAAATTATCCTTTGAAGAGTTTGTTAGTGCGATCGTTGTACTCAACAAAGGTTCAACAGCATTTGATCGAATTGCATATGTCATTGATCAGTTTAACCCGAATAAAAATGATAATGTAGTTGAAGAAAGTTATGGAACACTGGTATTTGATCGTTTGAATCAATATTATGAAATAAATGATGTCGATCCAGTATCATCATGGTCAGAATTAGTTAATACTTGTGCAAGCAATCCAAATCGTGTTAGTCGTGATGAGTTTTTAACCTTTATCGCTGGACATCCGATTTACATTACACATATTCGATATCACACATGACACCTAAGTACACAAATACGAAAAGATCCCTGTGAAATTTTTATTCCATTTTGATCAAAATAAAGAATATTGACTCCATCTTTCAAATTTGAGTTCACTAAAGAGGATATACAGTGTCTCTAGTCTGCTTCAGATGAGCCATTGTTCCTCCTTTTCGATTTCTGTATTCTTATTATTCTGTTTTCATGAAAATACATTTGTACACCATTATATTATAGTAATAATGCATCATGCCAACGTATGAAATCAGAATGATCTGTTTCATAGAGTAGCTCCTGTACCATGAGCATTTGATAACAAAATCTCACTGAATATTGCAGATTCCATTCCATTCGTCTTGTTAGATATCTGATATCGCGCGCTTCAGCGTCAACGTGGAGAATTATTCTATTTTCAGAAAAAGATGTTGGAATTGGTTACAACCCCTCTATATATAGTATTACGAATATAATCTATTTAGATTGGAATATTTCCTCTTTTGTATAGGTTTTTTCCAATTTATCATCCAGTGATTCATATATTTCTTAGATAGCGCTATTATAACATCCTGTGACACGTAGCAACAGGACTGGGTAGGTCTCCCTTCGGGTGCATCTTACTCTTTGAGTTTACCCGCACAAGGAGATCCAAAAAGTATTGAACAGTGGCGCAATCCAATCGAGTTGGCTGCTCGAAAATCAAATGTACCTACATCAGTTATTGGTGGTGTGATGCATCAAGAATCACGCGGACGTGATACAGGACTCATGTAAGCCACTGAAGGAACATTGAAAGATAAGAAACAAAAATATTCGAATGAATTTCAAGGGCTAAGTGGCCACATGAAGAAAATATCTTGGCTGGTACTTGTTATTCGAAAGAGAATTACGACAAACTTGGTAGTTGAGACCTTGCAAGACGTGCATACAATTCAGGTCCGAATGCTGTTGATCCCAATAATGCACACAAAATTAAACCCGAATATCCATATATGGAGATCCTGACCATATTGAGCATACGAATAAATGGATAGAAAGCATCTCTAAAAAAAAAAGATCTCGATCCGTAATTGCAATCAATCAATAAGCAAGATGTATGGATGCTGTTTCCAGTGTTTTTTCTTTGTATTTGATATTTCTATCAATCTTGAATAATTTAGAATTGATGTTAACAGATCTTGCACAAATAAATCTCGTATTGAGTTTTTTAAAATCAACTGTGACGTTCATTTTTTCTAAATAGTTCATTATGCAGGAAAAGCTCGATGACGTAGTAACAACTTTTTCCTACGATTAATTTCATTTTCGACAACTATAAATAGACTTTATTTGTTAATAATGGGTTGTTCTTTGCTTCTAATAAGAGTTTATTTCATCTGAAAAATTTGTCTGCTTTGATTCGATTAAGATGTAACTGATTAGTAACAAATATTAAAAGAAAACCTTAGCTATTTTTCATATCTCATGGAAGTAAACAGTACATGGATTAAAACGTGTCAGAAAATTTTGTATCCAATTATCGATGAATATCACAAGACTGGGGAAAAAAGAACGAAACAATCCACATATTCACACACGAAAGAATGAAATATTTTTTTAAGAACATCTGTTTCTTTCTTCTGTGTATACACTGTTTCAACCGTTTGATTTTGCTATTCGTGCTAATAAGAAACAACGTTATATGTTTATGTATAAAACCTATTGTATATTCTAGATTTTTGTTTCTCATCTGAATCATGGCAGTATCGCAAATTTCAGAAAATATGCTCATGTTACAACCAGAATCTGTATCTTTACAGACAGAATTAGACAAAAATAATGAAAAACATTCATCAAGTACTGAACTTGTGCTCATTCGAAAAAGATACACTATGTGGATTCTCTCTCTACTTGTAAGTATATCAACGTGAATATAATATTCTAAGAAATATTTCAAGGCTCCAGAGGATTTCGATGATATTTATTTCAATGTTCTCAACATTTTAAGTAACCATTTTTTGTAAAGATTAGCTCTATGTTTAATGCGATTGTTATCGGTTATTTCCTTTCTCGTAATTACAATTCGATGTATGTATCGGATAATTTCTTATGGACCTTTCGTGTTACCATGTATATCACACGAAGTAAAGAATCTTTTAAAAGAAATTAACATAGATTGTCAAGATTTTATCTTCGTATATTACTATAGTCACCATTTCAATCTTATATATGATCAATTTGCTTAATATTATCATCAAACGGATTCGATTCAGTATTTTAATGGTAATTCTTTTAGATAATTTTGTTTTTTTCTTCTTATTGCATTGTATTGCAGTTTCGATGGCTAATGGTTGCTGAAAATATTACCACTTCGGTTTTTTTTCTGTCCGTGCTGATTTATGGACGCTTACATGATATTTCTCCGCAATGGATTATCGTTATGGTTATTTTAGCACTAGTGTACTATATTATTTCAGTAGGAATTCGTTTACTTTTACTATTCTTATTCTCGCATGCTGATACTTTTATAGGTTTTAATAATTCTTAACACGAAGACGGCGTATCGCACCGTAAAAGCACTTGGGACATCGATGCATATCAAAATAGTTTTCAAACGTGATCCAGCTCCAGATACTCTTTGAATACTTCTTAAATACATATTCAACTTGTTCTTTTTATTTCTGACTTCTATTACTCTCTACAATCTTATGAATTGCGTAGTTAATGTGAGCGATTTCAGTTGAATTAGAATTCTACAAATAGCTTAAACTAGTATAATAAATAAGATAGAGAATCACAGGTAGTTGATTGGATTCTTATTTGTGTCCTATTTCGAGAATAATGTGATACATTATAAATGACAGAATTTAGTCCTGTTTGCTCGAAATCGCTCTTCGCAGCATCCGATTCCGCTCTTTGATGTGTATTTTATGCAATCTGCAATTTCGAGGAAACAGGACGATACCACTAGTTCGTGTTCACTTTTACAGTACAATGTACGGTTTCACTCAGAGAGGAAAATCCAAATCTATGTAAACCTGTCTTTAATTGACTTGACACATGTGTATGAAACCGAAACTTTGTTGCTTTCAAGTACATTCGCACAATGCTCATCTCACAAGTGTGAGAATTCATGGATATTAATGGGACATTTTCGTAAACTTGTCTCGTTTTATTTTCAATCGAAAGAAAACACAGCGTGAATACAGCCTACGTATAATGAAAATGTTGTTGAACAGTTCTTTGAAACGAAGTTAGAATTTATGTTCGGCCGTATTTTAAAAGTTTTCCGTCATCTAACAAAACGTACATATTCATACTTGAATCAAAAGCTAAATCTACTGGATCATCATCAGTATTCACGACGACAATGCCCAGTGTAGAATTAACACAGTACATAACTATTCGAGAATTGCGTTGGTCTGCCACATACAAATTTCCTTCAGGATCTAGTTTCATACCTCGCGGATATTTTAGTGTACTAGGACCAGTGGCGACATTTGTGTAAGCAGTGTTCGGCGTTGAAGCACCGAATTCCCACAAATATACGTTTGTACCATACTCATCACTCAAATATATCTTATCGGATGAGCCATGTGGAAGCAATAGTGCTGATAGTTTGCTAAAAGTACTACTTGCACTGATAACTACTGACAAGCTTGATGAGTTGGGGGCCAATTTCATCACTTGATTGCTCCTTTGATCACCAATGTAGAGATTGAAATCACTGTCGACAGCAGTACCAACTGGGTAAGTTAGAGTACCAGTAACAATTGAGCCACTTCCAGCAACGATCGTGCCATTTGGAGAACTCGATGAGAAGTGACGCACCAAAAATGTATTGTGACAATTTGTATAGAGAGAGTCGTTTTTGTCGATTGTAATAAAATCGATATGATCACCGTAGTCTGGTGTTGCTGGAACTATCGTATTGTTGGAACACATTAGCACTTGACCAGTTCTGTGGCCGGCTAAATATACTGTATCATCAAGTCCTATGTTCACACTAGTAGGATTTTTAATAGGATTAAAACTGGTGTCACATAAAACTACACCCGTTTGGCTCCAGCAATAGTTGCCACCTAAAGATGTACATACGTTACATAAATGTGTTTTATAAATGAAATCGCACTCACATCGAAAACAAGGGGTTGTAGTAGTAGTAGTAGTGCTACTACTGCTACTGGAAGTGGTAGTGCTACTAGTGCTGCTACTGGAAGTGGTAGTGCTACTAGTGCTACTGGAAGTGGTAGTGCTACTAGTGCTACTGGAAGTGGTAGTGCTACTAGTGCTACTGGAAGTGGTAGTGCTACTAGTGCTAGTGGAAG